TGTTTAGTCTCGCGGTAGTTTAGCAAGGGCGGACAGAGCCGTCTCGTTGGGTGGATCGTCTGCGCCAATGCATACGCAAGTCGCCCATCCATTCGCCGTAGACGGCCCTGGTACTGCATAACCATTTCAAGGATTTGCGCTGTAGCTTCGGATCACGCATCCATGCAGTTGGGTACATTTAAGGTTGAGGCTGCATGCCCGGCCTTGAATTGCGGGACAGGGATGCTGTTGAGGGTGGGCACCCACGAAAATGCGCCAAGCACAGACAGCACCAACCTGTTTACACCGAGCGAGAAATGTGACCAATGCAAACAATATGAGAGGAGCTTAGGCTGGAAGCACTTGCTTCTCAAATTGACGACATCCCTCTCCTCGTCAGTGCCTGATGCTGTGTGTTCCAGATTGTGGAAGAACATCATCAAATTATCACGGACCAACTTCACCTTGTTGTCTTGCCAAATAAGTCGATATCAACCCATTTCCCACCCGACATCACACCCTTAGCTTTCCTTCAACAACCCGCCATCATGTTGGGCACTTGGAGGCTGGACAACAAGAACGACTCTGTGTTCACACGCCAAGCTATCGATCCGGTAACATCGAGACCTGTTGTGCAGCAAGCGTGCAATAGCTGTCGTTCAAAGAAGGTCAGTTCAATCCTCGTTCATACCCCAATAGGTCCAGCTAGGGATTCCCCAGCAGCCAGATGCATAAGCGGCGACTGTCACTGTGGGAGAACGTCAACAAGCTTCCGGGTAGCCTCTAACCGGCCAAAAGCTCAGATGTACTGGTGAAAAGACTGGCTGTAGCCGTTGCAAGACCCTATCGAGGCCGTGTGTCTACGCGCATCCATCAGGGAAGGGGTCTGGGCGAGGCAGGAAAAGCAAAGCGGAAGCGAAAGATGCGAAAACCTCTCGAAATGCAGCGCCAGGACCATCCAAGCAAGCTTCACGATCGCCACCTTCAGTCGAGACCCAGCAGTCTCCGCCCCAACAGAGCCTTCCGCCGCCACCGCCGCCGCCGCCGCTCCCCCGCTCAAACGAAAGTCTTCGGAACATACCCGCGCTGGCTGGGCCCGCAAGGAGTATCTCATGCGCTCCGGTGGAGTTCCCGGTGGGAATAGGAGAGACTACCAACGACGGCGAGATGAGCCCCCATCAAACAACATTTGACATGACGGATGGCGGCTTTGACAAGATGCGATCATTGGGTCACAGTTCGCCAGCGAGCATTGAGCAATGGCTCACTGGCTCGCCACCGCCATGTTTGGATTTGTCGGCCGAGATAGAGTATCTTTGGCCAGGTGAGATGCTGGACACAGGAGCATTTTCTGCCATGACGGAGAACATGATGCCGAACGGGCCTTTGGTTAACCACATGATATCCCCTCCGTCAACGAGGGACGGTCTACGGTCGTCTCCAAGCAGTAGCGGCATGTTGCCCTCACTGACGGATGGTGGGAGCACCCAACCAAGTTCTGGAAGGGACAGCATAGTATGCCCTCCCAATATGGGCTTGGACATGGCAGTTCCAAGGGGACCCGGGATGCTGGCTTCAGTGAGTGGGGCATTTGCTGGCAGCAATAACAGCAACAGCATATCGAATTTGCCGTCCCCGGATTCATGCCAGTGTCTCCAGCGAGTGGTTTTCCTAATCGACGAGCTGGAATCGATTCAGGATGTGGCAGCAACACAGCTGGATGCCGGTCTCGCATCGCACAAAGAGGCTCTCCGGTACGGTGAAGCCATGTTGATGTGTGGGTACTGTACATCGAGGCCGGAAAACATGACCATCTTGACATTTCTAACGGACCGACTTGCCGATCTTTGCGAGCGCATCGTGGGCGGCTATCTGGAGCAAATGCATGGGGACGTGAATATCGGCGGCAGGCCCGTCTGTCAAGGAGACTCCGGCAGGCGACCAAGCCTAGCGGCCAGTGTGGGCAGTCAGGGCCAGGGCCAGGGCCAGGGCCAGGGCCAGAACCAGGGCCAGAACCAGGGCTACCATAGCCATGGGGTGCGATGGGGAGTATTTTTCGGCGACTATGAGGTGGACTCGCCGAGCGAGTGGGAGCTGTTGGTCAAGAACCTGATCATCTTACAGCTGCATGCGCTAAGCGCGCTAATGGGTCGGGTGAAGGAAATATCCGGGGCAATGCGCTGCGACACACCATGGCGCAAGGCGGTGGGGACGGAAAAACGGATTGCAAACTTGTCGCATAGAATGGGACCCATCGGCCAGGCCGCCTGGAGTCCCTACTATGGAAATGATGGTGGTGGTGGTGGTGGTGGTGGTGGTGGTGGACTGTGTACCTAGGAAGATTGGCTGTCATTAGTCGAGGTCGCCCGGAACTCCGGAGGCGTTGGGATCCACTGCAGGATATTCGTAGATGGAAAGCCTCCATAGACTGGCAAACATGGTGATGGCGGTGTCATTGAGGATCCAATCTGTGCACGGAGAATCCACCCCCTTGCCGTGTGCCGTGCCGATCCGATGGCTTGAAAAGTGGGATGCCTCGAGGATACCACTCAAGTGCCGAAAGTAATCGGCTTGCACCCTCGCACCCTACGATGCCTCGAGGATGGATTTGTTGACGTTTGGGTGAGTAATGGCGAGGCGCCTCCAGTGAACGGAGTCCACGACGCCACCGGAGGGCAGTGAGAGGTTGAGGGGTTCTGGCAAAGCTAGCTCTTGCATTGAAAATCTGTATCTGATCGGCTATGGGACGGACAGATTCATATTGCCACTATTGCACCTGACTTGGTGGCACAGGTTGCCGGACCAGTCACGTCCCGGCATCTAGCGTCCAGCGCCCAGTGCAGCTGCTCATCGGACTGCGAGGGCTGGTAGCTCGACAAAGCTGGGTGGACGGGGGAGTGACCCGATTCGACCGTATTTCCGATAGCCAAAAACGATGCTCGAAATGGCTTGGGCTGTAAGGAAAGCGGCCGCATGGGCCATGTATGAATCCGTTGCGATTCCTAGGTTGTCTAGGTAGACAACACGATTGATGTGGATTTGGCAAAGAGGAAAATTGGAAGGACAGAAGTAATTCGAAAAGAAATACGAAAATCAATTCGAAAGGCGACCAGACGCAAGCGCAAGAGCGACGGGAGCTACAACTGGTGGGCACTGGGTAGAGCCGGCCGGGTGGGATGTTGTACCCACTCATCGTCCGATCGCTCTTTCTTGTTTAGGCGTTGCCCTGCAGAATCGAGAATCAGCGACCTATCGCCCCTGCCTCCCAAGTTCCACTAGATATTACTACCAACCTCACTGGTGGCAGGTTTACATCATTCAGAGAAGTCTAAAAAGCATACTACCTAAGGTAGGTACCTACCGAACCCTCGACTCCATCCCAGCAACAAGTCCCCGGGCCACCGGTTCATCAAGGGCCCACACCATGGATATAAGGTACCTCACATCTCTCACCTCGTCCACATCAACAGCATCACGGTTGCGATATAGTTGAAGGTTTCCGATTGCAGGTGGTAAAAAGGCCACTGCATTCGATCTTGACTGTTACTGCCCCCACCCAATAATGTCCAGTCCAGTACAGGGGGCCTCGGCATGGGCCGTTGTCTCTTTTGTGACAGGCTTCTATGTCTTAGCGGTCGATCTGATCAGTCAGTAACTTTCAACAGCAATTCACTCATCAGGCCTCCTGAATCGAGATTATGTATACGTACCCATCATCATTTCCCCTCTTTCTCCATCTGATGCCAATCACGACATGTGGTCGAGTTCCTACTGGCTACGAGAGCACCCGGTTGAACTGTGCATTGCTCAAGTGACACAACCTGCAATAGCTCTAGTATTAGTCTAGGGGCCAGGTAAGGTAGTCATGTCTTTGTAATTACAGAAGGCACCTTAGGGATCGTTGTCTACCTACGATTGCTGCCTCAGCCCTATCATTTATTAGTTTTCCACCATGTAACTTGACCTATTCCACTACGTTACATCTTTCAGGGACATGTGTCTCGTTACATAGCTATGCCATCCTGTCGAGCAAGATGATGCTGGATATCGAGTTATAAAGATTGAGATCAACAGAAGGTCAGGATGCACGGTCGGAGAGAAGTTTGTTACGCATACTGTCTAGGCCTCATGCCTTTGAAGGAAATAAAAGCTACCCGTAAAACAAGCCCCTAAAGGATGTAGTCGCACAAGTGTGTTCCCGAGGTCGGAGCGAGCTCCAGCACCTCTTGATTATACACAGTACGGTGCATGGCTTGCGAAGGTGGGTGACTGGTTGGCTCTCGTTCGTCCGCTGGCAACACGAAAATGCAGGCGCTCCCCCTTTTTGTTGACAAGCTGACTTTCTCCCCGCTTTCCAGGCGACGCCAAGAAAAGAGGACTGGCGCCACTGACAGTCGTTTGTCCGCCCCCCCACCCCCCCCTGTTCTTCACCCCCTCGCTCCCACACACTCAGATCTGGCCTAACAGATGACGATACAAACTGCCGAAATCGGCACTGATTCGTCAACTCAAAGCATCACTCTCCCTATCTCGGCCAAAAAAGAAGCAAGAGATGTTGTGCTCGGTTTTGCCACGGGCATTAGGACCTTTTTGCATCTTTCGGGAATATCTCCGATGTAAGCTCACCAGCTGTCCTCCAAATACCTACCCAGAGATCATCTGGCTCTGCAACTTGGTCGTACGAAGTACATCACCTCCAGTCTCGTGTGCAGAAGCCAAGCTACCTCAGCTTTTTCATCATTACATAATTAGAATGGACACACGAGCCCACCTTTTCCATATGTCATGACATACACTTAAGGGGCAGTCCAAAGCTTAGACCTTTAGTTGATGAAAAATCACATAAGCACCGATTATAATTTGCTAGCGTTATCAAGGTAGTACGGGATGTTGTATATGTATGACAAAACTAATTCAGGATCCTATTAAGGAAAACCTAAACAGTTACAGATCTAAGGAACAAAAGGAAGGATTGAACTCCATAGCGAAACTCGAGTGGAGATGTCCACAACAGACCAGTTTGGACGAGCTGGGAATCAAACCCAGGACCTTTCGCATACACGAAAGTAGGTATGCTAAGCGAACGCCCTACCAACTGAGCTACACGCCCAGATAGATGTCTTTGATGAAGTTTCGCATCTGTATCACAGAAGGTAAGGAGTTGCGACCATCACGGTCTCCATCCGAGATCCCCACTGAAGAAGCTGTCTACAAATACTTGATTGCTCTTCTCTCTGTCCAATTGATGCAATGTTGATTCCCTCTGCCTTGATTCATGTAAACTAACTGCAGGTATAAATAGGTAGGTAGGTAGGTAGGTAGGTAGGTACTTGAAGGAAATCCTTAGCATTACTGGATACTTAGAATTGTACATACCTCACCCAAAGTCCAAACAGACCACAAACCGCAAATGACAACGTAATGGAGGTACTACACAATGAATAAACTATGGTAGTACTGCGTTCGCCATCGTGATATTTCAGAGCTGGAAAGAGAATTCAGTCACCGACATCAGGGAGTAACAACATTGCTGCAGAAATCATGCGTACCGAGGTTGGACATATGGAGGGTCCTGCCTGAGCGGTGAGATGCAATTCAAGGTTACCTTGAAAAGTCCAATGGAAACAAATATAGTAGCCGCCACCAAGTCATTACCGGGCGCCGCAAACAACAGAGCCAACATAGGCACGAACGCATATATTACTGGCAACGCAATGTTGCAGCAAAATGCATCATTCTGACCTTTTCTTGTTTCCCGAACCTCGGCAAAGGCGACTTTTACTTGTGCGTATGCACGGAAGGTGGTATTCCTGACGCTGTGCACCCAACGGCAATACCGCACACCGCCACCGCATCGTCGGGCCGAGAATCCTCGTTAAAACTTTCAAAATGTGAACGGATGCACTGCAGAAAATCCGAAGAGAAAGTCCAAGGATGAATGGTAGATCCGTGCTGGGATCTTTAGAAATGGCGGTGTAAATCATTAATTGGAAGATTGTCTCGGCTGTCTTCATTGACACGTTATGAGAAGTCTCGTTGGTGTCAGTCCTTGACTTGGATAACAATCTAACACATCCAATACAGCTCTGAATTAAGTAGGCAAACACTGTCAAGGCTAATAAGCGACGAGATGACAGTCTATAACTGTAAAAATACTATTGCGTCAATCTAGTATAACTGGACAATGGATTTTGTTAGGAAATTTTCCTGGTCGGACGCCATGGTTGAATACGATCATACACTCGAGGACAAAACAAAAAGGGCTTTATTAATAGTTGGTCGAAGTACAATAGTACTTCAATTAGCTGTGAAGGACAAAGAGGGAGACAAACTATGAGAATCTAAGAGGTAACTTCCATAATTTATGCGTATCGTTCTATTGTGACTCACTGGGATATTTACGGCGAGAAATATCAGCAGTGATTTGTATCCATGTTTAGTTAGGTACTCCAGTAATTCTCTAATTATGAACCTCTGCTCCAACTCTGGCTGGGAGCTAGATTTAACAATTCGCAATGTACTGACATCTTTCCAACCAGGGTGTATGAAGTATAAAGACAAAATTGTAGCTTTTTAAGGTTGCGATGCTATTAAGCAACCGGCCAGTTAAGTTGGCGTCATCTGTCACAGACAGTGGAGAAAAGGGGGGAGCAGGCATGTAGCTATAGAATGACTTAAGTTTATGGATGTATTGATAATATTCTCCTGTAGTTAAGAAAGACTCTAAGAGAGTATACTAGATGTCTATCTTTCACCGATGGACTCGATATAAGGAAGGACTATGAAATGAAAGGGGCAAACGCCAATATCCCGTCCGCTCAAAGCTTTGTTGTTGAGGTATCCATCACAGGCGAGCCGTTTAATAAAACTCTCGGGGGATGAAACGCATCTTTGCTTGTCCTACGTCGAAGACAGCCAGAGCATTTTGTAGGAAGGCATCACCCAAAATGTACGGACCACTGCCACCGCTGGCAATTGCAGTCATGCATAGACCGGTAAGTGGGTCCACCATTCTTTGATAAATGAGGTCCCTTGGGTTAATCCAGAAGTGGACGCCCCCGAGTATGACCGAGATACGGGGAGCAACGGCATCGCAAGATGTGAAGTAGGCGCCGTACATCCATAGATAAACGCCGGCGGGGGTGAAGGCCCTGTTGATAGCGTCGGCAAGGTTGGGCGGGAGGTAGCAGATTGTTGTACCCGTGTCAACGATGAAAGGGTATTTGGTGAGATCGGAGGTCTGGCCAAACTGCCAGCCATCTGGGATGACGGTGTAGAAGGAGTATTCATAGGCAGCACTCTCCTTGTCAATCAGGTTGGTCTATGGAGTAGATAAGAACCGAATTAGCAACTCGACTGGAAATTTTGATATAGCGTTTGCAAAGTACTCACGATGATCATGTCCAAAGTGGCTGTCCTGGAGTTATCTAGCCCAGTGACGGGTGGAATACCGCCCCAAGCCAGCAAGCCAGTCGACGCATTGCGGTCAATGGCAATGCTGAAGAGAGGAGCAACAGTGCCCTGGTTTACCATGTTGGAGAACAAAGGCGAGTACTCGATCTGGTTGCCTGGGTCATGGTCATCGCTCGAGCCGAGATAGGCGTTCGTCAGGGAGGGGAACGCAAGGCCTATCAGTCCGCTGGTCTGGTTGTTGCCAACCCAGTATGTGGTGTTGGCCAGGGAGACCTGCTGTTTCTTGACCGTGATGTTGCCAAGAGTTATATCTGAAAATCCCATGGGGCCAGTGACGGTCTCGCCATCGCCATACTGAATGAACATGTGCTCCTCTGGACTGGTAAGGCCATACTGAAAGTCTTTGGGGTAGGCCGGCCCAAAACCGCAGGCAACTTGCGGGACGGACTCCCCGTGGTAGTCAACACAGGAAAAGCCCTTTCGGACGACCCATGTATCCGAGCTGCCCGTGTCAACAATGAGCATCATCCGAGTACCGTTCCACACGGCCTCGATGGCATACTGTGTGCCGAAGGCGCTTGTAGAGGTGACGTTTTGATAGCCATAGCCGCCAACCTGACGTTGGTGAGCACCAATGATGGCAGCAACCGACTTTGAGTTGGTTTTTGAGCCACAATTGCTGTGGATTCTTTGAACATTCTTGCTTTGTTTGGGCAGGCCCGCAGCAGCAGTCCAGGGGTGAGTTGCCTTGGGTATTTTGAACCCGATTCCTGGCGCTGTCACCGACTTGAGTACTTGCAAGTGGGTATTAGGAAGGGCTGTCGCGAGAAGACCATAGGTGAGGAACCACGATAATGTGGCGGTGGGCGACACCATATTGGCAAAAGAATACTCGGAACTGAGAAGCAACGAGCGAATGACTGCCAAATAATCAATGACTGCCCTTGAGTGAGGCGAGGGACAAAAGTTTCTTGCACTTGAAAGAAAGGATCGAGGGGAGATATCGTTTAAACGAAGGTAGGTATCGGGGAGTAGCTGTGGGCCGGACGGTTGCCAACAGGGAAACGTGGGCTATCCACGACATGGTTAGACCAGTGCAAGACACCGTCGGAGTACTTTGCCGTGCCAGCGGTGACGGAGGATGCGAGCAGGAGCAGGATAGTGAGCAAATGTCCCAACCCCGTTGCTTTAGCAGGCACTGACCCGGTCAATCTAATGTGCTGCCAGCAATGTGGTCAGCGATTTGGGCCACTCAACTGTAGTTGACGAAGGATGGCTCAACGCCGACTTTCTCCTTTTTCGTTTCTTTTATTGCTGCAACAGTACCCATCGTGAATGGATTAAATACAACAGGGCGAAGCAGCTGAGGCACGGAGTCGACGGGGAGGATGCTCCCTTCTCAGTGTCTGTTTGTACTTTTTGCTGTACATGTAGGAGCCCGTTGACACACTTCAGAGTGGGTCTGAACGACGTGAGACTGAGCGATTCTGTGTGAGATATAGATGTGGCAGGAGGACTGTTCCACGGGTAACGAGGTACAGACATGATGAGTTTGAGACGAGTCAAGGACCATGTTGGACCGTTGACCTAGCAGAGATATGCGTCGGGGCCGACAACATACTGAATGCCCAGCCATGGTACAGGGCTGCCATTCATCATGTCTAAACCCTCTCTGTGCGCCCCTTTACTCGCTGAAACATGATATCACAGACGGGGACGGCAGCCGGTACATGTCTTGAGTCTGGCATGGTGTCTCCTGTGACGACATGGGAATTTCTTTTCAATATGCGCATAATTAATGTGTGTGTGCGAAATTTCCCGCCAATTAAAAAGATAACTGCGTTCCATGCTGGGTTTTCTCGATTCGTCAGACTCGACTCAGTGCGTAATAAGGTAGTCCAAGGTCTTTTCGGTGATAGTGACGCAAAAGTGACGATGTCGCCGAATGTTATTGCCTGGTGCCTGATCAATCTTATTAATCTTATGAGATGGAAAGGAAAGGCGTTGCGATGTTTGCCGACGGGGTTTGTAGTTGCACAAACAAGATTGCGTTTTTTCACTTTTGCTTGCACAGTAGGTATCCGGTTAGACTTACTTACGGCAGCTAGTTTACGGTCGCTTCAGGGCAGGGTAGGTAGCTAGCCATCAAGGTGTCAGGATCTGAGGGCCGTCTTGGCAACTGTGTCATGTGATTAATCACATGTGCCTGCACTGACCATGTACCCCGCCGCGCCTCGCCAATACCTGAGACGGGTCACGGGCGGGACGACCTTTGTTTGTCCTTTGTTTGTCCTGTCGCGCGCCCGTGACAAACATGGATCCGGATCCAACCAACATCAAGTCTTTCCTGGAATCCTCCCTGGAATCCTCTTCAGCTGCTTTGACTTGACATCCGTTCTTGTTCGCATCCATTCACACACCAACGCCACGCCATCATCTCTGAGCGCGCAAACACATAACACAGGGCGCTCTCCGCTCTTCGTTCTTCTCATATCTCCTTTTTATACCGATTATTACCTTTGCATCTCTGGCCCCTTCCTTCACTGTGCGCGCACGGGCCACTGGACGAGGAAATTTGTCAAGGTTGGTTTTGCGCGATTGTGGTTGTTGGGAATGTCGGCTTAGGTGCTCTGCCCAATCGTCTAGATCGCTTACCTGCGTCTCGCATTCGACCTTCGCCGCGACGTGACGCCTACG